GGCAAAAATCCAATATCGTGCATCCCTTATTTATATATATATATATAAAACACATTAAGGCCAAACAGTTAATTTTGATAATAAGTTACCTTATTGTCACATTTATGAGGAGTGTGGTTATACTAAATCTTTCTTTCAGGGTTCCCATGCTTCTTGAAAGTACTTTAATTTCAGAGATATGGATTCAAGGCCTGGAAAGTACTTGAAAACAAACATAGGTCCTTGAAAGTGCTTGAATTAAATTTGTTTATGCAGGGATTAAAGTTTTCCGTCGCTACGACGGATTTCCGTCAATTGGGGAAAATAAATAAATAATAAATAAATAAACCTGTATCGCGTTGTTGTTGTTGTTGTTCTGCCGGCACACCAAAAATCATTCCTGGCCACGGCTGCAGCTTCTCAGTGACAACATAGTGACGCCGCTCGCATCATTCACAGTCGGGTTTTTAGCAGAGAACACAGAGCAGGACTTGAATTTCAGCGTGGGATTGCGGCTATTAATTACAATTGTACTCATTCCCGCAGGTTCCGCGCTTAAAAGTACGTGCAAATGATACGTTCCGTCATCTGTTATCGTGTTATGAGTCTTGAGAACACACTTCGCGCGCTCTCATTTTCTGTGTGCCCACAGATCGCGATAAGGAGAGTGACAGCTTTTAATAGTTAAGGGAGTTTGCCAATGTGATACTGATTGAATACAACAGTTCAGTAAACAAGTACTGCCTGATTTTGCTCTATTTCTTTAACGCATCTCTAAAAGCAAACACAGCTGAGTTTCATTCATTCAATGAAAGTGCGTTTTTGAACGAATCTAGAGAGTCAGTGATTCATCATTACCCACTCATAAAGACAGTCACTTGCTTAATTCCTGAATGAATCAGCCGTTCGAATGAATCAATTGAATGAATGATTCAGTGATAAAATCAGTGACTTGTCGCCATCTGCTGGTGGATTGTTTCATTTTTAGCGTATAATTTCAGTTATTTAAATCATTTAATATTTCTGTATTCAAAATGTTATATTTAAAACATTAATCTCCACATAAATGTATTAATTTAATTGCACTCATGCCACCTCTGAGCCTCATTAAACGTCTGAAAATGTACCTACAAGCCACTTTTGTGTTCTGTGCCACCTCTGTACAAATACATTTTTTATTAATACTAATTTCATATGATTGGTAGACTATTTGTCTTATTCTACTTCTTATTATATTGTTTTAAATAGAAATTTTAAAAAGCTTATAAACATACATTTTTGAATTTGACATGGATGGAAAAAGATGCCATTACAAAGGTAAAAAGAAAATACCCCTGTAAGTCACTGAGTCAAATGTCACCTAGTATTAGGAAGGCTAACTTTTGATCAGAATTTTTTATTATTGATCCGAAGGTGCTCCTAATTTTTTTTTAATTAGGAGGACAAGCGCTCCTAATTACAAGAAGAAGAAAAAACTTTGCTTTTAAAAACTGTGTGTGTGACTGGTATGGCTGTGGAATGGGGGTTGGCTGAGGAACATTTTTTTATTATTTTTTATTTCTTTGCTTTAACCCCTGTTTATGGTGCTATTTAAAAAAAATTGTCCAATATGTTCTGTCAAAGACAGAATGAAACGGCACTAAGGATTGGGGGTGGAGATGGGGTAGTGCGAAAAAAAACTTAGTGTCTGTGTTGATGCGCAGCCTAGAGCCTTGGGGACAGTTCGCTCGCTCCCGCTGAATTTCTGACCATTACCGCCCACTCCCGCAACGTGTGTGTCTCGCTCCCGCAAACATTCTAATATTGTATATTATTTTTGCACATCAGGGAGCCACTATCAATATGCGGGGTATTGAATTCGCATTTGAATGAGCGCTCGCTATTCACTTTCGATTTTGCGATCATGCATACTCTGTGTAAAGGGAGCACGTCTTACAGTGTGTGCATAATTATTAGGCACATTGATATTCTGATCAAATTTTTTTCCAAGCACATTTGACCAATTCCAAACCACATCAATCTTAACTACTATTATTTTCGTATTTAATCATTTAGAAGTGATTAAATTGTACATGAAGGCTGGAAATAAAAAAAAACTCCTTATTAAGGTGTGCAGAATTAGGCAGGTTTTCTTTTACAGATGAAATGAGCCAAAAAAGAGACTTAACTCCGACTGAGAAGTCAAAAATGATTAAATACCCATGAGAAATATTAAAAACGAATGCAATACAGAAATTTCAAAGTTAAGGCATGACAATTGGTCAGCAAAATGCTCATTGGGTCAGCAGGTTCAGAAAAAAAACAGTTGGAGAAGAAAAGAGCATGTTAACTGCAAAATAATTAATGTGAAGAATTAAGTGTGAAACCATCAGGGACCCTTTAGTTCCCAGTGCCACTATTTTCCAGAACTGCAACCTTGAGTCTCCAGAATTACAAGGTGTCAGGTTCTCAGAGACTTTGCTTGGGTAAAAAATCCTAAAAAATGATCCCTACTTAAGAATAACATTCTGAAGTGTTGTGAAATACATGAAGACAATTTTTTTTATATAGGCTTTATGGACAGATAAGTTGAGAGTGACTCTTGAAGGACCAGCACCACATCCTCTAGTACCACTGTTAGAAGAATTGATCTTCCAGAATCCGGCAGTAAGTTTTAGCAGCTCATTTTTGTCAGTCTCTGCAAGACAGACTTTTCAGGATAGGAGATGGACTAAAAATGAACTCCCAGAACTTACTGCAACATGGAGCTAAGGAGAAAATGTAGAACTTGAAAAATTGGAAAAACAGCTTAGTGAAAAGCGTTTACAGTTTAAAAGCAAATAGAAAGTCCTATTTTTTTTATTTCTTTATATTTTTTGCAGATTTGCACATGTACAAGGTTTAAAATG